GCAACATGTATGTGAGCCCTGGAAGGCTACTCTCAAAGAACACAGCACAAGCAACATGTATGTTGAGCCCTTGGAGGCTAATGGTAGTTTCTTTACATGTGAGCCACCAAAGGCTATACTAGAACACAGGCTTGCATTGAGCCATGCTGGGCTAGTGTGCAGCAAGAAGTGACTTTTTCATAGCCGCAAGGTGTGGTGTGCTGGTGATCTATTCATGAATGTCTTCCTCTTCAGTCCTTTTCTTAGAGAACTTGCCACTTCGAGTGTAAGTTCTGGTAGGCAGGCTAGCTTCACAGTCACTCTGCAAGTAGTCAAAAACTGCTGTGAGCTGGTCTGCATTCACTTTTACCATGATGTCTGCACTTTGAGGCCGCTTCTGTGGACACAAAAGTGTCACTGTTGCATCTCCAACCTGTATATCCACTGTTGTTGGAGACATTCTCTGCTTCTTTGCAGAAGGCCCACCATCCTTCTCACAATGTTCCTGCTGCCAATCCTCTGGCCCCACACCTCCTGCAAGCTTCTTGTTCCTCAGTTCCTTCAGCTGACCCAATCGGTCACCATTGCTCAAAGAAGATGTTCTCTTCCCTGCACCACAGATCAACTTGTTGATGGTGTAATTGGAGGGTGCTATCTTCAAGAACTGGCAACCCTCTTGGTCCTCAAGGGTTTCCATGATGTTTGCACATTGTGGGGCAAGTGCAGGAATGTTTAAAGCAAACAACATAACATTGTATCTGGAGAGTCCTCTGTGATCAATGCCTCAGGGATCTGCATATTTTTGCCATTTCGGTAGGACAAGCACAGTGTGTGAGAGACTTCCACCATAGAGCCACACAATTTGGGAGAGGTTTCCAGCACAGTGTGTGAGAGATCTCTGAGCCCACACAACATAGATTCACAGGTGCAAACAATGAGCCACACTGGGCTATACTGCACAAGCATGGAAAGCAAGTCAAACCCTTTGCATTGAGGACATGAACAGCAAATCTCGAAACAAGAAGGTCTGAGCCACACTGGGCTAATGTGGTTTCTGTCACAACCCTGTGAGCCCTGGCAGGCTACTGTGCATGTCTCCACATTATTCTTTGCAATTGACCCCAGTTTGATTTTTTTCAGAAACAAGACATTTTTCAATTTTTTTGGGGTCTTCTCTTGAAAAAAAGTAAAGCCAGCACTAGCACATATGATGTTTTCAATGTTTTCAAGTAAGGTAGAAAAATCAAGTTTAAAGGGACCTAACTAGTTAGGAAAATTAACATAATTAGAAAAATTAACATAATTAGCTAATTATTATAAAATATTAATAATTATGTTAACTATTTACATAAGTTATAAAGAGTTAAGGCATAGTTAGGGTATAGTTAGGTCATAGTTACAACCAGTTAGTAAAAGGATATAATTATGTTAAGTAGTTAGTAAAGACACAGCCGATCTAAGAATTGCTGAACCAACCAAACCCGTCTGGCGAAACACATGATCCCATTGGTGATCGTTCTGGGATCCTTGGGTCTGCTGTTGGCCAGACCGCAAGACCACTTTGGTGGCCACAGTTCGCGCCAAAGCCAAACACATTTCGTGCGTCAGATTTGCTTTCCACAGCAATGGATCAATGCGGCCCAACCACATATCGTTGGCCAAAGCGAATCTGCACAAACTTGGCTTCTTTCCGCTGAATGCAGCGTCACAGTCGGAACAAATGCCGACTGAAGCCTCCCCACAAACAGCTGCCTCCGAAACACGGCGTTTGTGCAACAGCACCAACTTTGGTTTATTCTTGGTGCCCATATTCACTGCAGACGCTTCCAATTCCTGTCCAACGCACAGTCGCTATCACAGCTCTGAGGAGTAATCACAATTATAATAACCTATCACCACGAAAGCCATCCATTACTCGTATCACAGATGGATCGTCACGTCGACTCCCCCTTGCAGGTCACAATAGATGCTAGTATTACAAATGGCTCGTCACGTCGACTCGCCAGTACCTGTCATAGTACATAATGACCGTTAACTGCTATATTTTTCTCAAAAAAAAAATCCAAAGCATATCCAAAGCAAAAGCACAACAAACGATATGACCACAAACAATCTCAAACAATATGACAGCAAAAGGTACAGCGCACGGTATTCAAATGATCGTTTTGCAATTCCGGCTTCCATCATGAACACCACATACATCTTGCATCTGATCGCGCCTCCAAAGGGATCAAAGGCCATCTCCCATGATATCGAGCAACGCCAATGAGTTCCCAAACTGCATCCGGATTCTGCATGAAACATTGATCCCCTTGCAAAAATACATCTTTCAGATCTTCCATCCAAAATGATCGAGGACAGAAAACACAGGCACATCGACGTCGAAGAACATGTTCCAAACAAGCTTCTGGTTGCGACACAGCTTCAACCAGAGACCTTTCCCAATCCATGGCCCCCAGTCGCAAAAAGGTGGCATAGTTGCTCACATAGTGCCTCACCTGTCATCAACATGAGTACATAAGAACATGTCCCAGCATCGGAAACCATGTGCTTTACACAGGAACATCAAACAATTTCAAGCACAGTAAAACACACAACTCTCACCTCCTGAGCAGTAACCACATGAGGGCATAGACATTCCAGGAACCAACAAGCATTTCGATAGCGTTGGAGACCACCATGCACGGCATCAACGTGAGCAATAAAAGCATCACGATGTTCGAAGCCTTCCTGACACAACAAGCAAGGCTGCGCAGCCACAACCGTTGGTTCATGTAGCCATTCACGCAGGTCCTCTTCTGCATGATCACGGCGCAGTGAAAAGGCATACACAAACCGATTGAATGGGTTATCCTCATCATTGACCTTGTCAGTTCTGTGACCAGACATGTTGTTCGACCAGGTGGCGGCGCCCAGGATTCTTTCTTGCCGGCCTCTGACATTTCTCGTTCGATCATCATCTCTTCGTGACCGCTTTCTGTCACCCTCTCGTGGGCCAACAAATTCCTGTGTTCGATCGGTGCGATTTTCTTCCCGCTTCCGCTCAGCGCAATTTTGTTCCTGCTTCCGATCAGCACGATTTTGTTCCTGCTTCCGACCAGCACGATTTTGTTTCTGCTTCCGACCATCACGCTTTTGTTTCTGCTTCCGACCAGCACGCTTTCGTTCCTGCTTCCGACCAGCACGATTTTCTTTCCGGCTCCGACCAGTCCGTTCCTGTTGGCGACCAGCACGATTCTGTGTGCGGGAGGAACCTTTCAATGCTAACTTGCTCACCGTCCAGTGTCGGTGTGTCTTGAGCCCTTCCCCGCCACAAGCTGGAAGTTCGGTTCTGCGAGCAACTCGCCTTTGCCAGTCCGAAGATTCACCTGTCACGGCTGCAGCCAACAAACCCGGCAACCGAGCCAACCAGGCCCCCGGGGCCAAAGAGGACACCGCAGGCTCGACTCGTCCCTGCCGTCGCAGTCTCTCCAGAAAAATCAGACTCGGCCACTTACCGGTTACTCCAGCTGCCAAACGACTAACAACAGAATCATCGCATTTCATCCAGCCGCTTTTCTGTCTCACAGAAGCAATGAAATGACCTCCATGAAATTCTACGAAACCTGTCACAATGTAGCACACATGGCGACGGTCCTGGTAACAGTCGCAACTAGGAGCATTCTTCAGAACCCACCCTCTCAAAGAACTTTTAAAAAATGATTACTCCAAACGAAACTTAACACCAAAGCTTGTTCCGTCATATTTTGCCGTGTCCTCTCTTCCAGACTGAGCCAGTAGCTGCGTCCAATCGATCGCAGCGCCCTCACGGTTGCCGTCCAGTTGCAGGATGACAGCATCCGAGTTCGGCCAGCCACATGGAAAGTTCGCCCGCATCACCTCCTCCACAGTGATTGCACGATGATCCAATTCCATCGGCGTGCTGGTCATCATATACAAACCGTCAGCGTGTTCGATGCCACCTAGCACACAAATTGCAACGGCGCGTCTCAACAAGCAAAGACAAAACACTCTTAATTAAAAGATGACGTGTCTTTCATCACGCATGCAGTGCGCTAGTTTGATATATCCAGTTTCCCCCCCCCTACGCCCTCTGCCTGTGGCTTCCGCACTGCTCACATATAACCCGCAGTCATTGATGCAAGTCTCAAGCAGGATTTCGAGGCAATCACTGCAATCTGCCGATTCTCCAGCTGGAAATTTCACGGTATTGGTCAAATAGATCTGGTTTAGTAAAGCATACGGAGCGATGCAATCGTACTTCTCGCTCTGCAGGCGTTGCGTCAGTTCTTCCATGCATGTCCGGAACTGCCCTTTCCGCAGTCTCTGAGACAAATCCCTATGCAGAGGCTGACATGCGACCATGCACTGAACAACAGCGTTCAAATAGCAGGAGTTGCCCAGATTTCGCAGGCCAGTCTGCCAAAACCGATCTTGCAAACCAGAAGTGTCACGAGGGCGACTGCCGTAGTCCAGCCTCAGATGCACACCTTTCTCCCACAACCATTCCGCAGAAGCTTGCTGAGCAAAATGCTCCATCTCCAGATGCTCCTTCACTAGCAGCTTTGCCGCATCGAAGAGCACATCTTGTTCTGAACCCTTTGTCACACGACGCATTCGCGTCTTCAGTGCCCTGGAAACTCCTTCCATTTCCAAGGTGGAACCTTGTCTCAGCCAGTACGACATGGCTTCAAGCACTGCCTTCTCCAAAGACATTTCTGGCAGCCCACTCTCCTCCTTCAATCTCGTTTCCGCAGCTTGCAATGCTGGAATGGAAATGTCAGCAGCTGCCAGCAAAGTCTGGGCATCCTCCAATGCTTCAGCTCTCACAGTTCGAAGGGGTCCAAAGTACGTATGCCCTTGCTTTTTGAAACGCGCACGAAAACTGTCTTTGCACTTTTCGATACACTCTTCTACCCGGGCTGCTCTGGCATCAACTTCCATGGACGCAAACAACTGCTTGATGACTGCTTCCATGTCAGCGCCTGCAGCACGCGCAGCTTCCAGCTGTCGCTGATCTGCTTCGGCCGCTGCCAGCTGCTGTCGCGATGGACCCACATATCTCACGCCGGCAACTTTAATCCTGGCCCGATAAACGGAGCCACGAATTTCCACACCCATGGCTGGGCGAGGTGCGGGTGGAAAAAATGTTGCATATATATATATATACATTTATTGGATGTAGATATCCCGCACTGTATCCTGAAAAGATGTTTGTTAGATCATATTAGATTTTCAATGATGTCTGCTGTACTTGCTGTATGTAATGCACTGTGTTAGATATCTGTTATGTCTGTTATGTCTGCTATACAGAATCTAACTAAAATTGAATGTACGTGTTCCGACGGTTCGTCGCATCGACTTACCTCCGAAACCACAACAAAATGCCAATGGCAGTAGCTGAGGTTGCGTCGCTAGTTAGCATGCAATATCCACAATATATAAAATCTGAGATCAAAGAAAGCCAAACTGACAAAAAATTGTTGGACGTGCTTGACAACAGTTCGTTGCGTCGCTGTAAGCCGTCTACAGTCACACAGTCAGACGGTCACTCTCGCTCTGTCACTGCACTTGGAGTGAGTCTTGCCGTCTCCAAAACACAATCAGTTTTGCTATCTTGAGTCAGTCATTGCCACGTGAGTCACTCATGCTATCAAAACATGCCGCAGTGACTTGTCGGCACTTCTCAGCATACAGGCCTCAACAACATTCTTCTTTGTGATGATCTCTTGACAGACCAAAGCACATCTGTTCTAGACGTATATGTATAGATTCGGAAGTTCAACAAAGTTCGTCACGTCGCCTTTTTTGACGATCTCTCTACAAACCAAAACCAGCTCGAAGTTCAACACACAAATAGAACTCCACCATCAACCAAAAAGGTTAAGGCCCAGACCTGGTAGCAGCATTGTAGCATTGGTCTCCGCGAAAATCCGACTAGAAAAGGCAAATATACAATCGGCTGCGAATGCCTTCTCTCCGTTCTCATACACAATGGCAGTACCGCGCAGAGACAGTTTGCAAGCATCTTTGCCACAGCCATTACAATGCGATTCGCATGCGTGAGACCCCTTTCTTTGCAAATCACAATGGCAGCAGCGCAGAGACAGGCTTCACAAACAACTTCTATGCAGCATTTACAAGGCGATTCGCATGCCGCGCAAACACTGGTCCTGCAAATCACAATGGCACCAGTGCACAGACACACTTCGCAAACATCCTTCCCGCAGCATTTACAATGCGACTCCGAACCGGCAAGAACCAATACTATGGAAATCACAATGGCAGTAGTGCACAGACACAGTGTGCGCACATCCTGGCCGCAGCCATTACAATGCGATTCGCAGCCTGTCACAACCATTGCTTTGCAAATCAAAATGGCAGTAACGCACAGAACCGCAGGGGGCCCAGCGGCGACAACGCGCGCCGCAGCCCCTTCTGGAGGCTCTGGGTACTGCGCCTGCCACTGCAGAGAGCGAGGGGGGCCCAGCGGCGACAACGCGGGCCGCAGCCCCTTCTGGAGGCTCTGGGTACTGCGCCTGCCACTGCAGAGAGCGAGGGGGGCCCAGCGGCGACAACGCGCGCCGCAGCCTGGAGGCTCTGGGTACTGCGCCTGCCACTGCAGAGAGAGAGGGGGGCCCAGCGGCGACAACGCGCGCCGCAGCCCCTTCTGCAGTCTCTGGATGACAGGCTCTGGGAGTGTGAGTGAGTGAGTGAGTGAGTGAGTGAGCGAGTGAGTGAGTGACTGAGTCTCTGGAGACTGCTGGGAGTGTGAGTGTGCAGTCTCTGGATGACAGGCTCTGGGAGTATGAGTGAGTGAGCGAGTGAGTGGAGGAGGGGGCGAGGAGGGGGCGAGGAGGACGGAGGGAAGGAAGGAAGGAAGGGCGGATGCGGGCGGGATGGCAGCCAACAAAACTAGAACCCCACACAGAGATGTGGGGAAAAATAGGGGTTTGTATGGGTTTGTGACCGTTTATCGCTGTCAACGTCCTGCTGCTATGCTGCTCGTCGTCCTACACACTCCGTCGCTTGGCGATACCCACTCCCTCACCGAAAGGCAGCCTTGGCCTGCCAAGGCCCATCGTACGACATTGCCTCGGCATGGCTGTTGACCATCGGTCCAGGAACGGCTGGAAGGGTACGCCTTTCAGTATGCAATGCCACCTGAATGGTATAAATCCAGCGATGCCTCTGACAAAGGGACTGACTGAACACATGACAAAATTTGAGCCGGAGAACTGGAAAAGCCAGAAACCAGACCTGTACGTAGAAAGACTTTTCCCTTCTTAGTTGCTGTCACACGAGTGATGTCTGCCCACGCAAAATAGGTAAGGTGTCGCCGCTGCTCGTCGCTCCGTGCACCGCGACGGCACAAGCGCGGCCGCGTCGCGTGTCAGGCGATGAAGGAGGCTCAGCTGTTCTGTCACCAGCAGAATCTTGGCGCCTGGAAAGGACGGACGGACGTAGGCCGGTATATAAAAGGATATATATATATATATTGCCGGACCTGCAAACAAAATCCATGGCCTTTCCAAATACCAGTTGGGTCATGGCTTCCAACAAGTGAGTTTGGAAGCTGATGACGGTCTACTGTACAAGCTGTCTGCTAGATCTGTGTGGGGCATACACGCTCTTTATCGCACTTTTCTGGTAGTGGGGCCAGGCACGGCACGGAAAATCCACTCCAACGGGGATAACTGGGATAACCGAGTTCAATGAACCACCTTTTGGGTGGGGCCGCCGCTTGTGCGATCGCAAAAGCTGAACACCTACCAAAACTGAATCGACCATAATCGACCAACGGATGTCCTGGATGGACATGTTGCACGGATGTCCCGCATGGCCGGCCGGTGTGCCCTGGCCTATTACAGCACAAACAAAAAACCTACAGAGCAGGGTGAAACGTCTCGATGAAACCTTTACAGTGGTTTAATCACCGTCAAGACCTGCCATTGTTGCCACACAATCTAGCACAAACGACCCAACCCAAACCAGTTGTCCTTTCTTCGGACTAATTGACTAATTGATGTGTTTCTGTCCATCACCACCCGGCTCGCCTTCCAAAGCCGGTTGATAAAGCCAGGCATCATCCAACAAAGCCTGGCAACAAGGACCCTCGAACCCATTACGTAACCAATACTTCCGCAAAGGCTGAGATGTCTGGGTGATGTATCCCAAGAGATCCAAGAGTGAGTAGTAATAGCAGTACCCCCCAAAAAATAGGATCTTACATTTGCGAATTGCAATTTATGTTGCCACACTTATTTTTATTGTTGTTGTAATTTCGAGACAGGGAAACGCGAAAGGTAGAAGTACCAGGAACATATGAGAGGTGCATGAAGTGTGGTGCATGAAAGAAGTGCCTTTTGTCGTAGGGGTTGTTCAAACATGTAGTGGTGTGGCGAACGTGGAGGCTTGTCAACACTGGTGTATGTGAGAGCCGTGGTGTGTAAGAATTGCCTGGTGCCAAACTGTGCTGCGCAAGTGCGGTCGTATGTCACGCGCGCGCGGTTGCCAGAGCATGTGGTGCGGTGAGGTTTGTTATATATAACACGGCTTTGCGTGGAGGCTGTGTTGCGTCAATGCTAGTTTAAAGCAATATATTGTGCGTGAATGCTGGCCTGCGTAAAAGTTGCGGCTTGTAAACGCTGGCGTGTGTAAGAGCCGTACGCACTGCGTTGAAGCCGTGTTGCGCAACCTCATTGTAGACACTGCTGTTGCTGCCAGTGAATGGACGTGGCGCTATGGTAGGTGATGCTAGTGACTAGTGTTGCTGGCGAGGGAGGGTGGGTCCCCAAAATAACAGATTAATCGATTATTCATCACATTGGGGGGTGTCAATAGAATTGATATATATATATATATATGAGCGACCTTATTGTTCAGAAACTTTGTCCAACACGTGTTGGGATTTTTTTCCGCACTGTTTGTGGTCACCACAGAAAGAAAAAGAACTAGCGCAGGAGGCAAGGAACAGAAGGGTAGAAGGAGAAGGAGAAAAAGGAAAAGGAGGAAAAGAGGGAGGAAGAGAAGGAGAAAGAGAAGGAGAAGGAGAAAAAAGGAGACAAAGAAGAGAGGAGAAGGAACAAAAAAAGGAGAAGGCTCTTCCCGCTGCATTCTTGCAGATCACAATACAGTATACACCAGCCATGTGAGAATGGTAGCGCTTACAGGTAAGTCTGAAATCTATAAATGCATGTCCATGCAATCTGAAATGTATATCGGTGTACGTGTATGTATGTAAGTTTGCCTATGTTTGTGTGCGAATGTATGTAAAGTTTTGTAAATAAATATGTATGTATGCATATGTGTATGCGCATGGGTATGTATGTATGTATGTATGTATGTATGTATGTATGTATGTATGTA